GAGCATGATATAAAATCACTATGTTACATATTTAACCTTAAGGTTAAAATGTATGAGATCAGCTTAACTTTCTAAATCCGAAAATTAATACTTTTCCATACGTTATGCAATTCGTCCCTAATTTTACTTTAATGGAAACCCTACTCTAGTTTTTAAATTCAGTTCTCTATATTATACGAAAGTAATGCAGTATACAAAACTTAAGCAAGTTTTGTTATTCTGTAAATCTATCTATATATATATAACAGTACTGTCTGTTGTATGTCCATGTAACTACTTCGCAGGGTGTGGATGGAACTTCACTAAAATTGGTATGGAGGTTCATTAGGTCCATGCGGGGGTACGTATAAATTGAGCGTGAGTCATGTGTAACAACAAAAACTCTAAAACGGGCTTAGTAATTGTACTAAAATACGTATAACTAGTATAATAGTACTACCTGTTGTATGTTCATGTAACTATTTCGCAGGGTGTGGAGGGATCTTCACCAAAATTAGTATGGAGATTCACTGGGTCTATGGGGAGGTGCATACAAATGTTCAGTTTTTCATTTTGCGTTTTTCAGTTTTTATGCGCGTTTTTTACCACTACTTCGCCCCCTGTTGATGGATCTTCACCAAATTTGGCAAGAAGGTTTAATGGGTCCATGGGGAATTAGATACGAATTTGCGGTTTCACATTTTGTGTTTTGCAGTTTTTATGGGTGATTTTGCTTTTTGTGTTAATAAATACATCAATGATTGAAAACTGGTTCAAGGTAGCCGAAAAACTACAAAAAAATTAATGTGTTAATAAATACATTAATGATTGAAAACTGGTTCAAGGTATGCCCAAAAACTACAACAATTTTGATGTATTAATGATTGAAAACTGGTTCAGAGAGACCGAGACTATAGGAATAATAATATTTCAGCTGGTATTTATTCGTATCTATTAACTACTGAAAATATTTTCATTGTGGTTTCTAGTGTATCTGCTCACACCGTATAAAGTGAATACTGTGATTTATATATATATGTAGTTGAAAAGCAATTCACTGTTTGCTTTAGTATTTGTCATTCGAGAATAGTAATGTTGTCTTTAGACGTCTTTTGTTTATGTGATGTATCTGCCTTTCGTCAAAATGGAACAGTTTGAAATATGTTTTAGTAAACATCCAATATTTCTCCAAACGTTTTAGGATCTTATGAGTTAACAATTCTTTTTAAAGTTAAAATAATCAATCACAGTAAAAACAAAAGAAGACAAATCTTGTAATAGTAGAACGTTTGGTGGTAAATTTATTCAAACTATCAAAGCTTCAGAGCAAAATGGCTCTGTGCTCAAATGAAATGCAAGATATAGGGTTTCGTTAGCTTTGTAACCGTAAGATTTGGAATTTGTTTAAGCATGTGGAAACTTAAAGAGACAAATACGTATGAATAACAGAACAAACAAACATAAAAGACAATATGGAATGATGGATAAATATTAATAATTAAATTAATTACAGTTTAATTGAAAGCTTCATTTCAGTGGTGTAACCAGGATTTTGAAGAGAAGGGGGATTTACTAGAAGGATTAAAAGAAACAGATTAACTATTGATATTACGTCAAGGAATGAGAAAGAAGCATTGTTGAATTTAATGCTAATTGCAGACAAAGCTCCTGGTCAATGACTTCACCCATTATTATATATTTTTTTCGTAATAGCGTTTAAACAAGTCTCATGAGCCAAGCCATCTTTCAGGAGGTAGGGGACAACTGCTCAATTTGCCTTTCCCCGTTGTTACGCTAGTGACCTTGTTTTTGGTTCTCTGATAGACCTTTCACTGAAGCTGAATATTCATTCATAACTCTTTACTTCGCCAGATATGTATTTATCGCCATTTTCCCTCTTCCCACATACTTTAAAGTTCGGTGACGTTTCAGTTAAATATCAAAATTCCTGCGTAATGATATGCGCATAAGACTAAAAAGGTGTTCAATCGTACGATTGTAAAAACAAAACATATTTGGCACTACCTAATATGGTTGATTCAGTAATGCTCACAAAAATGATACAGTTTACCCTAGTTGTGGACTCTGGTCACTCCAATTACACATTAAAGCAAATCATTATGTATATATTATACTGTTGGCCAAATTGATAATTACGAATGGAACGTAAGTGGATAAAGCTAAAAACCCACTTCGTTTGTACACGACCTTTCTCATCATTAAAGATAATTTAATGGCATAATTCTCTTCAGTAAGTTAAACTATTTTTTATTATAGTTAAGCATGCTTCACAATAATGTAACCCTGAGGTTGCCGACATGTTTTTATTCCGTCAACTACTGGTGAGGTTCACATACTGCATCACACTGACTAAATTTTATGGTTTATCTTTTACTACAGTCAGGGTAATAAAACACTGACCAAAATATTTTGTTTTTGTTTTTTATCTCGCGCTGAACTACTCTAAGGTTATCTAAGCTAGCCGCTCCTAAATTTGTAGTGATGGACTAGAGGAAAGTCAGCTGATCAAATTCACCTGCCTCCAACTCTTTGGCTAATCTTTAACAACGAATAGTGGGAATGACCACTACATTATAACACTCTCACGTCACAGTGTCAGGATTAGATATCGCGATCTACAGGTTGTGTGTCGAGTGTCCTATCTACCAAACGATACAATAGGAGAATCGAACCACAGATTTTAGCGTTGTAACTCCGTAAACTTACCTCTAGCCTAATGAGGACTAAATACATAGGAAATCAAAGCATTAAATAATGGGACTAATTACAGTAATGACGCTGCTTTTGTTGAGATTTTATTTGTGTGTAAAGAAAGAAAACAGTAACAGCCTACAAGACGTGTAAAATAAGCGAAATGTCAAAACCAGGTATGTAAAATGTAGTCATATGACCCTGTAGCTACCAGTTACTATCAGGGTTTGAAGACAATAACAACTGAAAGATCGTAATAACTGAATAATATTTGAAGAGTTTTATGTTTTAATACACTGGTGTGCAAAGTTAATAAATGTCTTCAGTATACAATTAGAACTAACATATATATATACTTGACTGTCCGTTTACTTAACTGCCATGTTGACTGCTTTGATAAACTGTCTATTTTAACTTTCTTTTAAATTATTTCTATTCCATAAAAAGTTTAATTAATAGGCAGGAAACCGTAACACAATATATAAAATTTGTTAAGATTAATGACTAAATTTGTTTAATATAATCTAAGTTTAAATGAATGTGTTTTTTTTATTTTGGTATACTATATTGTAGTGAATGATAATACTATTCTGATGCTGTTATAGTTTCAGTGTAAATTCTCATAGGTATCAAATGTTGTATTCAGCTTAGTCGGTTGATGACCACTAGAGGGTTGAAATTAATCCTTCCGAATTTATCCTTCATTTTCAGAATTGTTTCTAAAGTTTCACTGATTGATTATGATGAAGGCTGTGGTCCATCCTTTCCAAATAACCATTCATTTCTTAGGATTGTTTCTAAAGATTGACCGGTTTATGATAATTAGAAGGTTATGGTTAATTTTTTTGAACTAACCTTTCAGTTTTCATTTTTGTATCTAAAACTTGACCAGTCGACGACCACTAGAAGGTTGTGCTCAATCTTGTTTCTAAAGACTGTCCAGTTGACAACGACTAGAATGATGTGGTCAGTTCTTTCTAATTAACTCTTTATAATGGTCCGAGAGATGTTCTATACGAAAAAGATCTCGAATCTGTGCAGATCAATCAAAGCGTTGATATTGTTACTATAAAACTAGTTACGTTACTAGTGTTTATAACAAGCAGCATTATGCTTTTACAAAACGATACTTGAGTCTTCGAATCGTTTGTTTAAGCTGACTTGATATCCATGGTTGTGTATTCTTAAGCTCAACGTGCACAATGAAGTTAATATTATAACATCTTTAACATAATCGTTTACAGAAAGCACGATAGAATTGCAGTTGAATTGTTCATTTGCTTGTATAAAACCCATGTTGGGATAACACTTAAAATTTAGATAAAACATTGGATTATTACTACACAAAATTGTCATGATTCATGTACTAATTGGATTTACGCAAGTTTGGGATCAGGTTATCAACTGTGTATATATGCAGCATAAAGTTGTAGTCCGAGGATATCAATTTGGTTATTTCAAGTCTAATTATTATACAAACGATCTTTAAACAACTTTGAGACGAGGTTTATGAACTGCATAAATATGCAGCATAAAGTTATGGTGTTGTGATATTAATTTCAAATCTAATTCATGTACTAACGGACTTTAAGTAAGTTTGAGATCAGGGTATGAACTGTGTAAATATGTAGCATAAAACTGTAGTCTGGGGATGTCAGTCTGGTTAATTCAAGTGGAGATTTTCCATATTTCTTGCATTTATATCATTTCTCAGATTCACATATTACATTGCATTTTAGCACCTTGAGCACATTTAATTAGCACTAATTTAACTATTTGTTGTGCTTCAGTATTGATACTCACCTCGCAGAGCGCCCTGGGAGGGTTATATTCAAGTGTCCTGTGTCCGCTAAGTTAAAGTAAATATATCTATGTGTGTTCGTTAATTCTCAGTTGATTATGTAAAACTCAGTCATCTTTGTTATGTGTAAATAAACTACATAAACTATAGAAATCCTTATGTCTGAAATATAAAATCTTAATATGGTGTTGAACAAAGAATCAGTTAATTATTACCAATCTCTGAAAAGTTCCTTTTTTTTAAATATTATTCATGGAACGGTTAATTACTGTATGTATCCAAAATACAATTGTTATTATTTACTTAGAGCTGAATTTACAAGCTAAAACACAAGACTTATTTTATGTATAAATAAGTAGAATATATTTTAATACAGAACTAAAAAATGCAAGTTTATTTTGAAAACTGAGAAAATATGATACATAAGTTCAAATATTACCAACTGTCTTTGAACGTGAATTAAACAGAGTTCCATTGTGGTAAAAAGCCTGCTTTTCATTGGACGATATAGTAAAAAAAATACAATTTATTTCTATAAAATTACAAAGTTATACAAGATAACAGTATAATGGATTTAATACATAACACGCATTGATGATTTATGCATATCGGGCATTGTTATTTAATACATATCAGGCTTTGATGTTTAATACACATCAAGTATTGTTATTTAATGCATATCAGACTTTGATGTTTAATGCATAACAAGTATTGTTATTTAATACGTACCAGGCATTGTTATTTGATACATACCAGGTTTTGATTATTAATACATATCAGGTATTCTTATTTAATACATATCAGGCGTTCTTATTTAATACAAATCAAGCATTGTTACTTAATGCATATTAGGTATTGTTATTTAATACAAATCAGGCATTGTTACTTAATGCATATTAGGCATTGTTATTTAATACATATAAGACATTGATGATTAATACATATCAGGTATTGTTATTTAATACAAATCAGGCATTGTTAATCATTAATACATATTACAATTGTTATTTAATACATATCAAACACTAATGATTAATACATATTACAATTGTTATTTAATACATATCCGACACTAATGATTAATACATATCAGACACTAATGGTTAATACATATTACAATTGTTATTTAATACATATCCGACACTAATGATTAATACATATTACAATTGTTAATCCTTCATTCTTTAGTAAAGGGGAAAATATATTTGGCACTTAAATTGTGTTACTAGAAAATTATTGCGATTAACTCAAAACAACAATACCATTGCCTTTATCAGGTTTTAAGATGACGTACAGTCTAGCTATCATTCTCACTTCTGATAGGCTTATTCTTCATTCTGTTTAAATGGAAAGAAGCTAAAAATAAAACTATAAAAATCATACAGATAATTCAACATATGAAAAATAGATTTAGAAGAAGTAACAATTAAAGTTTACAAACATTATTTTATTTAGGAAGTTAAAACTTTTATCAACAATGGTTTAAGTATCCTCTAATGGATAATGGATAACAAACAGTTTAGATCGGGATTATCCAGTGTTATAGAATTCTTATCAAAACGAATAGCGACTCCTAATAAACGTTTTCTACACCTTAAACTTCAGATGCAAAGTATCTTTCAAATTTATGTTGATAAACGAAGACTTTTGTAAGTAACATTTTTCAGTTTTCGTAGAGCACAGTTACAAAACGTTTACAGTGGAACAGACTGTGATTCTTAGTCAACTCTAACTTACTTTGAAATACTCAAAATATCGGAAAGTAAGCCATGTAAACAGTCTTCGTGTTGCTCTTGTCCTTTGTTTTTGTGCTCTTATGATATGTTTAAAATGTTTTGAAAAACGTTTACATGTATGTGAATAACTTTCAGACATGTTTAATTAGAATTAACAATAACTTTAAATAAGCTGTGTTCTTCTCAGTAGGTTAACGATGTTTATGTATTAAACCTTTAGAACAATGATCTTTGTTTGTGTTGGAATTCGTTACCTGCTGTATTCGTTTGTATATATAAACCACATGCGTTAAAAATACCTCAGGATTTTGGCATTTCCTGTTCTCGAGAAAACGTTTAGTGACAGATTTTGGGCTGAAAAAGCGAATTGTAGCGGGCCACAAGTCTTCCCACGATAACGTACAGAACGTCCCTCTTTACATTTAACCCGCTAGTAAACAGTGAGTAAAATTCATTAAATCCCGAATTTGCTTGAGAGGTTTAGAACATAAGCAATGTGAATCCACTAAAAACCCAACTTATCTAGGAGGCTTAGAACATAAGCATTGTGAATCCACTAAAAGCCCAACTTATCTAAGAGGCTTAGAACATAAGCATTGTGAATCCACTAAAAGCCCAACTTATCTAAAAGGCTTAGAACATAAGCATTGTGAATCCACTAAAAAACCACCTTATCTGAGGGGTTTAGTACATAAGCATTGTGAATCCACTAAAAACCCAACTTATCTAAGAGGCTAAGAACATAAGCATTGTGAATCTACTAAAAAACCTAGCTTATCTGAGAGGCTTAGAACATAAGCATTGTGAATCCACTAAAAAAAACACCTTGTCTGGAACAACAGAAACGTCCTGTTTGTTAGAACATATACCATTTTCCGTTTCTGTAGCTTTGTTGTTTTAGTCTGAATTTTGCTGGTTAAAACAGAAAAATTGATCAAATATTGGTATAGCCCTTCTCGAGATATAATGGCATTATCTAACAGAGAGAATCCCTTCCAAAGTAGATTTGACAATGTTTCTGACCCGCTGGCAATGTTTTTCGTGGACATCTATTCTCTTCCTATACTTTCGAAACGACTCCCAAAAGGAGAAGAAACAGTCTTACAATTTAGTTATTATAGGTTCCTTCTTCTACAAATAATAACAGTAATAATTTGGAATCACACCATTTAGAATACTTATGGATTAAAAGAAAAGAACAACTTTAAACGCTGAAGAAGTTCCTAAGTTCATGGTAAACGCTGAAGAGGTTCCTAAGTTCATGGCAAGTAATTCAAACGATGATTTATATATATCTAAAAATAACTGGGTTTTTGGAGAATATGGTGGGTTTGTTTTAAATGGGGTATCTTACACAAAACACATAATGGAGAAATTTAGTACGTTATGAACCTAGTACACAATATTTGCCTTCATTATTTTGAAGTTTATAAAAATATGGTTATTTAAACATAAAGATTACATTTTCATTACTTGTATAAACCACTCGTGGCTTTTGATTTATTCGAAATCAACAGAATAGAAATACAATGTTCTAAGTGTTAAAAACACGTTAAAATGTTCATTTAAGATACTAAACGTATCATGTTCACATGTGATTCTTTCTGTTCAAACGGATCGATGAAAATATTTAAACTTAGAACAAAAAAACACATGACTTAAGCCAGCAAGTGGTATAACATAATTTTTTAAACAAACATCCTCCAGTTCCAGCTACATAACCTTACCTCAGACTTTCTGTGTGGTCTTTTGTATCTCTGTTTTCTCTAATAACTGTAGATTAGGGCATGTGTTCGATTTAGTGGTATTTCTGCTCTTTCGTGAGTACGGCAAGTTGTTCTAATTCTGCTTTCTTCACGCCCTCAGCTGACGGCGGAGGTTTTGACAAACATCGGTCACACGTCATGCTCGAGCGCGTAGTAAAAGACGTCGCAGACCCGTTAGCAAGAGCCCCAGTAGTGACAAGCTTGTTGAGCGGATACACCGTAGCAGCTGGTTTCAACAGACCAAGAAAGTTTTCAACATTATGGACGTTTTCGGAACTTGTAGATGGTTCTACTATGCGATCATGGAGGACATGCTAACAAGCTGTGCAAGTGTCCATGCCTCTTGAACAGAAAACATACTTATAACTTGTCACTTCTTGCCTGTGGAATTTTCTCCTTCCTTTGGATCTCCATTTGCAGAGAGAAGCGCTAGAATATCGTTTTACAATGACGTTCTTCTAGCTGGTTTGCTAAAGAATCGTCCATTGTTCAAGTCAAATAACAAACCTCAGATAAGCACTTGCCAGATGTAAGCTTGTAGCTATATTACTCCATCAACGTCATCGCTTTGGATATAAAGAGCTTTGATAAATTAGATTTTAGGAAACTTCCTGCGGCCTGTTTCTTGTTATATCAACGGATGAACATCGCATTGAATTCATGAAGTTCAGCTGGGAGGAATCAATAAAACAAACAAAGACAAACAAGGTTAAAACTCCTAAATCTTCAGTCTCTGCCACAAGATTACTTCGTTTGTTTTTTTCTTTTTCGAGCAGCAGCCTGAATAGTGATCAGAGTGAACATTTCTGAACGATATGAAATCGAAACACAGATATACAAAACTACGAGTTTGAAAAAGTTAAAATGTATAATGAAGTCAACAAAATGAGAAAGAAATCCGAATATTGACCGAGCCACTTCTCTAAGCGTGATTTTGTCGAACAGGTGGTTAATCGCTAAATAATTTCTATAAGTATAAACATGACATAATATACGACCAGATCCATTCAAACTTGTAACTCATATACTTATACAGAACTGTACATACATCAGAATATAATCAGCTGTTCATATGAAGTGTAAAAACCTTCAGTTTAGAATTACATTACAAAATGTTTCTCCATATCAAATACGTTGTCTTAGCCTTAATAAAAGTCTTAAAGTTGAGTATCCTTTAAGCCTGTATAAATTAATATATTTATTAAACAAGCTCGACCAGTAAGTGTTCATGGTTAATGTCCAGTTAACTGTAGGTTTTTAACGTTAAAGAATTTCATTGAAAAGGTAATTTTATCGTATAAAAACTTCTCTTTTCCTACCTTTCTCTAGCATGCTCCAAAGTGTGGTATAGTAATAATGAATTGATTTTGATAGGTATCTTATCAATACAGAGCAGTAACTTGCCTTCCTTTTAAGAAATAGTCGTGAATAGAAATATCTAGTATTTTCTTATAACCTTATGTACTCCTTAGAAAAATAAAAACATGGTTTGTGTTGATCATCCCTTAAAGTAACACATCTTTTCTCGTGCTGTATTATCAACGAATGCGTGCATTTTTAATTTAAAACCTTATTATAATAAACACAATATAATCCGGAGGCAAATGGTTCCACGATTCGATTAGCCGAGAGCATTCATGATAAGGTATAACTATAAACTTCAGTCTTCTCGTGTAAGCGATGCACATGAGAAATAATATAAAGTATGACAATAAAGCACAACACATATTGAACCTGCGCAATACAAATATAGCCGAGCACTCATGATAAACAATAATAAAGAATAACAATAAAGCACAACACATATTGAACCTGTGCAATCAAAATATAGCCGAGCACTCATGATAAACAATTATAAAGTATAACAATAAAGCACAACAGATATTGAACCTGTGCAATACAAATAAAGCCGAGCACTCATGATAAACAATTATAAAGTATAACAATATAGCACAACACATATTGCAATACAAATATAGCCAAGCACTCATGATAAACAATAATAAAGTATAACAATAAAGCACAACACATATTGCAATACAAATATAGCCGAGTACTCATGATAAACAATAATAAAGTATAACAATAAAGCACAACACATATTGCAATACAAATATAGCCGAGTACTCATGATAAACAATAATAAAGTATAACAATAAAGCACAACACATACTGAACCTGTACAATCCAAATATAGCCGAGCAGTCATGTATGTTCCTATATCATAAGATATAATTTTTATAAACTCATGTTAAGAAAAAAATTGCGAAAAAATCCCTACAGATATGTGAACTTGAGTCATCCTCGTGCAACTGAATGCTCACTAAATTTAAAAATGAAGTATAACAGTAAAACTTGGCCAATAACTTGCATCCGGATAATTCACGTAGCTGAGCGCTCAATAAAATATTAATAACGTCTAATTATTTACCTTGACAGATACATGAATCCGGGTAATTCACGTAGCTGAGCGCAAAAAATTATAATAAAATATAAAGTTTAACAGACATTATTACTTCATTCATCTGCGTGTAACTGATAACCTATAGTAACTAATAACAAAATATAGCAATAAACATCGACAGACAATTCTATTTGGTTCACACCCAAACGTATTGTAGCGTCCATGAGAAGAGTATCGCCTATATACATGGCAGATCGGTACTTGACTTACTATTGAGTATCATAGCCTGTCTGATATATTTTTGTTTTGCTTAAAAATAAAAGAACAATCTACTTCAGAAACAGTTCTGCGTTAATGTCTTGTGAGGACTATTACCAACTTAGAATAAACCCCTATTTTTTTAAAAATCGAATACAACTACCTAACTTAAGACACTGTTCGGAGAAGGAATATTGACTGTGTATCTACACAAGAAGGAATATTGACTGTGTATCTACAAAAGAAGGAATGTTGACTGTGTATCTACACAAGAAGGAATATTGACTGAGTATTTACACAAAAAGGAATATTGACTGTGTATCTACACAAGAAGGAATATTGACTGAGTATTTACA